GTAGAAAGGAGGGAGCAGAGTATGCGGAGGGACGCACAAAAATGTACGGCGGAGACGCATAACGGAAACAGCAACAAGAAGAAGACCGCTCAAACTCATGACTGCACTGCAGCCCAAGCAGCGGCAATTCACACAATATTTATTGAAAACAAAAAAACGTCCCCCTTCGTCTTATGTAAACCCCATCACACAAAATAATTATAAATGAAAAAGAAATCGTCCATTACTGCTCCACACAAATTTAAAAATAAGAAAAAGATCGCCTGGCTGCCGTGTGGCCACACCAAACTGTCTGTATGTATTTTGCCCACAAAAGAAAATTAAAAAGATGGTTGCGTGTGCTTCGACCGTCCGACCCTCCGTGTGTCCGCACATCGTTTATATTTCATGGGGTCATCCGCGTGTTGCTGCTCCCCTCAGCCCTCTCATCGGCGCGTGAGTGCGGCCCGCAGAGCACAGTCACTCGTGTGTGTGGGGAATGAGAGAAGCACGCAGACATGACGGGAGTCGCGTCACTCCATCAGGAGAGTGAGCGCAGCAAAAGAAAAAGAAATCATCGGAGGGGAGAGAAATGCTCACGAGGCCGACACCGAAGGGTGCGCCACCGCATGAAATAAACACGAGAAGCAAAACAAATCCTTAAAGAAAAACACGGCGGCAGGGTGTGGCTGTGTGGGTGGCGCTGCGGGTGTCTGCCCGCCCTGGCCGCAATAAAAACAAAACAAGAGGGAAGAAATGTGTGCTCCGCCCCACAGACCCTCGTCGCACGCCCACACGTCGCGGCTCCCTCAGCGCGCCGTTCGTCGCGGCCCCTCCTCATGCGTGCAGCAGGCGAGGCGCACAGGGCTGTCGTCATGAGCGTGTCGGTGGGTGTGCGAGTGGAGCAGTTGGGCGGGAAACACACGGCACCCCCCACAGGAAGAGTGCAGAAGAAACAATTAAAGAGGGAAGAGTAGAAAAGAAAAAACAAATTCCATCGTGATTGCCCCAAAAAGCAAAAAGAAGAAATAGGGGTATAAAACGCACAGCAAAGCAAACAGGGAAAAAGTAAAAAAAAAGTTACTAAAGAAGAGAAATTAATTACCGTGTGTGTCGGTGCTGGGGAGGTTGCAATTGTCCCACGCGGTAGCCAGTCACTCCTCACAGAGCCGCAAACACCCACAGTCCCAACGGAAGGAGAAGCAGCGGCAGCAGTCCGCTCCCACGCACAGTGCCGGCATCGCTGTTATTCCCATGGGACACATTTCCGAGACTGCTGCTGAGTGCCGCAGCCTTTACTTCGCCGTCCTGTGCATGGATGTCCTCCCCCTGCCCATCCGTCTCTCCCACCGTCTCCACCGTTGCGTCGCCATCAGAAAAAGAAGCGCCACCCACATTTTTGCTTCCATCGAAAGATTCTTCTGACGCCAACGGGGTTGCAGGCCCCTCTTCTCCTGAGGAAGTCTTGGCACTGGACACTGTTGAAGCGGATACACCGTTCACATCACTGCTCCCCAACAACTGTCTCTGTCCCTCCTTTCCTTGACCACCAGGAGAAGTCTTAATCACGGTTCCCTGAGAAGGCTCATTCACCGCAGGTGGAGTAGAAGCTTTATTCGGGTTGAGGGCGGCGATCTCAGTGTCATCCAACGGGCGGTTGTACAGCAGGACGTTAGTCACAGTCACAGACACGCCTTCTTTGTTGTCTGCGTTTTCTCCATCCCCTCCAATGTAGAAGTGGGAGATCTCTTTTGAATCCTTATTTCCCAATGCACACGACACATCCCCACCCACACGATGACCATTGACATACACGGAGCCCTGGGTGCCGTTCCGTAGCATAAGCACCACTTGGTACTGTTTCTCTTTCTCCCAGCCGCTGCTGAGCTCAGTAGAGGTTCCGTCACCGCACAGCACCTGCCACTTCCTTTCTTTGTTGTACGACAGTCCCAGAAGTACAGTCTTCCCGCTGTCATTCATCTGCACACCCATCAAAGGAATAGGACCCTCCTGCGGCTCACCGTGGATGGACACCGTCGCCACAAGAGTGAAGTTGTAGTTCGCAAAGTGGTACAGCTGATTCCCCCCCTGACTGCCAACAGGCCACTCCGCCCACGCTCCCGTGAACTTCACACCATCGGAATTCTTTGTTGCCCTCGCAGCCCCTGTATTCTCTTTCTTCTTTACTGTGGCGTTCACCCCGAGGTACTCGTCCCTCCATGTGTTCTCAGAGAAGTTGCCGGACAGAAAGCCAACCAGCCCATCCGTCACCTTAAAATCTCTGCGGACATTGCCAGTTGAAAGAAGTTCCCCAGCACTTGAGGGGCACAGCTTGGGGACACGGTTGTCCGCTTCCTTCCACGTCGCCAGCACATCCTTCACACGCTGCAGCTGCGCAGTAAGAAGCACAGACCAAAGACTGTGTGATGTTTTATCCGCGTCGACCTTCTTCTTCTCGTACAGTGCAATCAACTCCTCCTCCCCCTTCTTATCTTGAACTCCGCTTTTAACACTTTTGTACAACAGGGAGCTGGCGGCACCGTCATCATCGGATACCGGCCCAATATCAACAATGTGCGTATTGTCCGTCAGCCAAAGATGGAGTTTTCCCTTTCTATTGCCCGTTTCTTTATTACTTTCCTCCTCGGAATACACCGGCAGAGTAACGAGCATCACATTTCTGTTATTATCTTCAACACCGTCAATCGTCGCTGTGATGAACCCGCTCCTAACACCACCTTCGCCCTTTTTGTTACCCCACACGCGCGAGAGTGTCCCGAGTGCCTCCGTCCACGACTCCCCCTTGTCACCGGACTCGTACACCCTGCGGCGGCCATCGTCACACGCAGTCATCATCATGAGTTTTTTGTCTTCCACTCCACGACGGAGGGATCACTGCAGCCACCGTAAGGAATCTCCTTCGATAGCTTCCAATTCTTAGCGTCCTTCAAGGTGTATATGAGCAACGAAACGGCCTTTTTACCCTTTTCTGCGTCACCCTTCTTCGTGCCTTCCACTGGGAACACAAGTTTATCGCCCTTCATCTCAAATCCCGATCCCCCGCCGCCAGTCAGCCGTGACCACGATTCTAGTTCGCCAACAGATGCTTGCGGGACATCGGTGGTATCTTTCCATTTGATTCTTTTGCCACTACCATTTTCTTCACAGACTTCCCCTTGCACCAGCAATAATCCCCCGTCATTTGCTCCGCCCTTCTCACCAGCAGCTGTCCGACTGTTTTTTCCAACAAGCATGTAAATATCATTTCCCTTCACAACTGTTGTTGGTCGGCTCACATCCACTTTCTTTGGGTCTGCGGAACCGTCTTCCTCCAAAATTCGTGTCGTATCTTTCACTTCTTTTAGCACTTCCATTGGTTTGTCAGCATTTTGTTCCGGGAGAAGTTGGGAAGCAATGCCAGTAAAACTGTTGCTTTCACTGTTATTTTTGTACTGCGCCTCGGCGACGGCAAACACGTCACTCCCCACGTTTAGAAGGCCGGGAGCACCCAAAGACTCCACAGTTACACCACCGCCCTCGTCATCGGCGTTCTTCCATTCAAACTTTGGTTTAGATGGCTGCTCCGGAGCTTGCGCAGCACCACCAGCGTTGCACCACATCATCACAACAACGAGGAGCAGCACCGCAGAGTAGAAGAGATGCCGCGACATGTTGGGCCTCTGCGGTTCACTCTCTCTTACTTCCCTCCTCCTTCCGCTGGATCCGGTCACGCAGCGACGGTTGTGTGTGCGGGGTGCCTTCACTGCAGCAACACGTGAGAGCATATAAATATGTTTGTGTGTGCTGTGTGTGTGCTGTTGGTCCTTTCAGAGCCTTACAATTTCACAGTAGCGATTAGCGTTTAGCCTTACTTCCTTTCCTTCGTTGTGTGTGAGAAAGAAAAAAGAGGAAAAACAGGCTAATAAAATATGGGTGAAACGCACCGCCACCCATCCACAGTGTGTGGCACCATCATCCCCACCGCAGTCACTCCCAACAACAACAACTCACGCACACAGACACACGGAATGAGAAGGAAGAACAGTGCACCGATAACACACAGCGACTGCCACCAACAGCAGAAGCAACAGGAATCATGGCGGGTGCTTCTGCCACGCGTCAGCACACCGAGCAACGCCCACACGCGCTGCCGCCAGTCGTTTTACTGTTGTCTCTCCCCGCACCCTCCATCGCACATCGCCCCGCACAGCCGGAGAATCCTCCGTCGCTGTATGAACAGCGGGAGAAACACGTCGGCACGTGCAGCTGCCGGGCGGGAATCTGCACTCCTCCCAGGCACCTTTAATTCCACACCACATTCGTCAACTGCTGCACGACAAGATAATCATGCCCTTAGCACAGAAACAAAACAAATTGCGGTGTTCCGTCATCCCTCCATCACCATCCGCAGCTAAAATCCTGTGCGTGCATTCTCAGCATTCACGCCGCTCCACGGCATGTGCAACAAGGTGTGTGTATTTGAATGTGTTTCGCAGCGCCCATACTTGCAGAGCAGCTGTGCGCCACAATAGAGTCAGAAGAAAGCAACGGCAGAGAGAGGCAGATAGCACACACGCAAATTACTCATATCATCGCACACACACACACACACACGCAGCCGCGGAATGGGTGCACTCAACCACAAAATCAAAAAGGAAAGCAAAACAAAAAGCCGAAGCGTGGGACGACCAACGCATACACACTCTCATTGCTCCCGTAAAGCAAAACACACACACACAGGGAGAGAGAGAGAGGTCGACCACTCAATGCAATGGAAACAAAACAGAAACAGTTACGGTGCTCCGCCCATGCAGCCAGGCAGGACGGCAGCGGTGCGTGTCGTGCAAAAGAGAGCACCAACGGGCCTGCATGGGTGTGCATGCATATATACAATGGGCACATTATTGTGTGTGCCTCGTGGGGTGAGGTGAGGGCGAGAGTCCATGCAAGGAGACACACACACACAGAGAGAGAAGGAAGAGTGTGTGTGCGGGCGGTGCACGGCTCTCTCTCCCTCACTCTCACGCGGCCACCACAGCAGCAGCAGCCGCACACGCAACAAGAAGAAGAAGCAAAAGAGGGGAGGTGGTGTGGGAGACCGCGGTGCTGCCGTCATTGTCGTCCTTAATTGCGGTTGCATTTGTACTATTAGCAGTTTCGTCTTTCGCGGATTCCTCACCATTTCTTGCGGAATGTTCACGCTGTTGGTGTTGCTGCTTTGCATGCTGTTCTTTTTCTTGTCGTTCCGGTTCTTCTTGTAGAAGCTCTTGTTTTTCTCCAGAATGGTGTTCGACTGAATTATCGTGATCATGTATTGCTGTTTTTACCTCCTCTTCTCCGACTGCTGTACCTCGCAGTGCTTCTGCTGCTGTGGCGACTGCCTCTGCAGCCGCCTTTGCTTCCTCTGCTTTTGCTGTTGCTGATTTTGCTTCTTCTTTTGCTATTTTTGCTTTTGCTGCTGCTTCTGCTGCTGCTTCTGCTACTGCTGCCGCCTTTGCTGCCATTTCTGCTGTTGCCTTTGCGTCAGCTGTTGCTTCTGCTGCCCTTTGTTCTGATCTTTCCTGCAATCTCGCAACTGGAATAAATAATTCTTTCAGAGTGTTGTCCTCCCCACCAGAAACACCAACAGCTCCACCGGCCGCACCGCACCACAGCACGCAGAGGGCACACACCAGCAGCACACGGCCAGCCATCGTCATCACCATCACTCCTATCAATTGCGTGCAGCCTTCAGCACAAAATAACGCCCCGCCAACGCAGAGTGGAAGCAAAAGGAGAGACAATTCACACAGCCACGCACACAAAAATTAGACAGATGGAATTAGTACAATTGCAAATCTCGAACACCGCCATGCAAACTAGAAGTTCTAAAAAGCAAAAATAAAAAAACAACACACAAACAAGGTTCCGCTGCGTATGCACATACGGCGAGAGCGGTCCGTCGTGCCGGCACCCCTCACGGAGGGTGCGCACACACAAAAGAGGAGGCGCAGCGCACACAGCAACGCAAAAGCAAAGTAACAATTAAAAGGAGAGATCCCCGAACACCACGTGGATTGTTGGTCCACGGGAAGTGCAGTCAATATTCATCACAAAATAACTTTTTATATCGTTTTTCTCGCGCCGGAATGAGTAAATAGCGCAAGGGCTCCCCGTACAAAAGTGACAAGCATTCCGTCGCAAACAGGCCTTCGTGCAGGCTGGGACAGTTCCAAACAGTCACAGTCCATATTCTGAATGAAAGGACATTACCAAAGTGGATGAAGCGGAGTCTCCCATGGTCCGCCGGGGATCAGCAGCCCGTGGCTTCTGTGATGAAGCGGTGGCGGAAGAGCCTGGTCCATCTCGAGTACCCGCGGTGGTGCTTCCTGCGTGCCTTGCCTGCTGGCATGCTTGGCAACTTCGGTGGCAGCCTGCGCGCGAGGCGCCTGTTAAAAAGACGGTGGAGCCATTGCGGCATCCGCATCCGAGGCCCTCTCAAACTATCGGAACGCCAGGCTGAGCACGTCCGGCATGTGCCCTCATACTGTGGACGGACGAGCGCAGACTCTGCCGCAGGTTGGTCAGAAGGACGTCAATCCGCCGCTCGCTGGTCGGCAAGAATTTGCGGTGCTCACGTCGGGAAGAAGCTCCGGCGGAGGCAGCGGCGGGCCGGTCTCTTCAGTAAGAAAGGGACGGCACCACCGACACAGAGGGTTACTTGTGATACGAAGGGCACGCGCAGGCCTGTCGAGGAGTGGGCAGGAGTCGCGCCGTGCCTGTGCGCAGAGCCGCCACTCGGGGCGCGATGTCCGGGTCAACACCAGGAATAGAGTCCTCGCCACACCGACAGGCGCCTCTCATGCGGTGCACGCGCCTTCCTTTTCCTCCTGGGCATCCTTCCATTATAACCTCTTCACTGCAGTGAGGAAGCCCACGTGCCAGGCATTGACGCAGTCCCGCGGGAGGGATCGTGCAATCATGGCCTCGTCGTCAGCGGCCTCACTGCGTGGGATACCGCAGTGCGATGGAAAAATATAAAATCCACAGGGTGACCTCGCTTCACCAAGGAAAGCAGCATAATCCAACTCTCTTCAGTAACGTAGCCTCGCATGGCCAGTGGAACGACGCGGAGTGCCTCAGTTCTCGACAGGGAGTCCGTTGCCACCAGGATTCGTGTGGGCGATTGGGATGTTTCCAGACAAAAAGGTATGAGATGTCTAAAAACATTTTCAGTGGCAAGGCACTGTGCCCTCTATGAGCATGCGAGCCTGCCAGCTGCTGCACGATGGACCTCCACAGGGAGATCGGTTGTCGTGGTGGAGCCGTACAATAGTGCAGCGGATCCAGATGCGAGCTCAGCGAGAGATGAAGAAACGTCCGTCCAGCGGCCTGCGTCATACGGCCCCAGGGAGGCAAAGTCCGCCTCAACAACCGATCTTCTGACACCGTCCAGGGCGTCCTTGGCATGCCGTGGCTAGAAGATGCTCACCGCGTTGCAGCTCACAGCGTCCAGGTAAAAACTCGCTGCTCAGCATGAGAGGCGCGGATGCGGTCCGAAAAGATCCCCATGTTGCCGCAGAAGCGTCGCGGTTCCTTGAGGATGGCATCTCCTGGAGCGGATAGTCTTCGCCGCCCTCCCAAGTATTGACTAAACTGTGTTTTCCGAGCGTATCACGTCACGCACGTCCTCAATACATCGGAGAAGTGTGAGGCGTTCGTGCGGTGTGGGTGTGCGGAACCCAAGGATCCCCCGCAGCGGTGCTGAATTGGCGGCCAGGTGGGCAGAAGTATCCTTCGATGATGCGCGTGGGCCGAGCGATGCTGTGCAGCTGTCGCCGTGCCGCACTTCCAGGCTGTGGAGGTGAATGGGAGCCGGACACGGTGCGATGTCTTTGCCGCCGTGGTGCAACGCACTGTGGACGCACCCAACCAGAAAGGACTGCATGGTGTGCTGGGACGCCCCAGCCTCTGCGCTCAGGAGCGGCTGATGGCGGCGTGGCACGGTCTACTTTGGTGTCTGTGTGAAGAATTTTGCTGTTTTTAAATTTTGGTACGGACCGATGGTGTATTGGTGTTTTCTGATTCGGTAGGAAAATTGCGTTCCTGAAGAAGCCGTTGCAGGTGTTCAGCGTCGTTGTGAATAACAGATGTGCGTCTGCCTCCGTGAAGGCGACAACAATGTCCTCGGATTACAACATAAGGCACTGCAGCTTAATCTGGTGTTTCACAGCAATTTTATTGGACAGTGCATTTGATTTGCAGTTATTGGGTCCTTTGTGGGGAAGGTGGGAGGCTGAGGGCATTAGGACTGAATTCATTTGAGTGGCTGCGTTCCGTTGAGTTGCGGCCAGTCGTGGCACCCTTTTGGGGTTTGGTAGCTCGTCTCTTTTGCTTACTTCCCACTGCAGCACGTGGATAACACTGATCCGAGGAACATTTGTCTGACCGCGTGTGGGCTGCTACCGTGCGTTTTGTGTGGACTATGTGATTGTGTGAGGAGGTGCATGGAGTGACGAATACTTCTGTTTGGCGTGTCGCGGTGTGTCGGAATGATGTTCGGATGACATGTGGAGGGTGTTGTTTGTGGTTTGTGTGTCCTCTCTGGTGGAGCCGACATGTGTGCGGGGATTGTGGCATTGCTGGCTGACAGCTCCACGTCACTTTTCGGCATTCCTGGATGTGCCGAGGAATGACGTCTGGCGACCAGCGTGTTGGTGCTGCTGGTGGGAATAAGTGCATCGGGAATAGGCCATTTTCTCTTTTCCGTGCTGGAGCCGATGAACTGGCACGAGGGCACCGGCTGCAGGCTGCCTGCCAGCACGTGTGAGCAGCGGATCCATGCACACACCGACGCTCATCGCAAGAGCTTGTGCGATCACGGTGGCCTTTTGTGGCGTGCTTTTGTGGACGTCAGCCCATCGCAGAATGTGTGAAGCAAACGGCTGACTGCACACGAGGAGAATAAGTGCGTGCACTGTGCCGTGTTTCAGCGTCGATGGCAGAGCGGCAGGAGGCCCGTGCTGGCAACTGAGATCTTTGCGTCGCGAGGGCTGTCGGTGTTGATTTTGGATCGTCGAGGGGGAAGTGATTTTGCTGCTGCCCGTGTGTGTGGCCACTCCGGCGGAGGGCGGACACAAAAGGGAGGGATGCAGGCGCTGCGTGTGTGTGTGCAGGTGCCATGCAACAACGTCACAACAAACATGCTGCGACTCGGTGACCCTCACATCACTGTGGTCCTCACGAACAGCCCAGGCACGGCCCACACCGATGCACTCAGTGGACGGAGTGAGGCATCTTTTGAGGCGCTGCAGGGAACAGGATGTGTTGACGCAGCCACGACGTGCATGGAGTGTCACGATGGCACAGTCAGCTGTGGCTGGTGGAATATTTTCTTCTAGAAGGCAACGGAGAGAGAGAGAGAGAGTGCTGCTCCTGCTGCTGGCGTCGTTGCTGCCTTTTGTGGCCTCCCATGCCGATTATTGTCTGTCCGCTGATCATGGGTGGCATGCCTCCACTAGTGACGTCGTCTGCAGGCATTTCACAGCACCAGTGAAGCACACATCACGTCGCATGCGTTGGCTGTGGATGTGGTGTCGTGAATGCAGCCGGCATTATTTTGCCCGACTCCTTTTTACTGCATTGCGACAAATAGATGCGTCGCCGCCCGAGTCATCCACTGCAGCTCCGTGTGTTGTACTGCCAGCACAAGACTCTCCTGATGTCTGACGCCTGGCTGACAGTCAAACACCACAGCGTTGGGACATGCAGGGATGTGGACTGCCGCTCACGGTGTTGGGCACCGCTGTTTGGATGCGGCGGCCACACGAGCGGATGTATTGTGGCACAATCAAATGCGTGAAATACGCGGAACCACAGCGGCTGCAACAATATAAGCGGTGTGGCACCACGGAATATGTGAGGGGGTGATGCATGATGAATCACCGTGGGCGGCATGCGAGGGAAGTGCACCGCGACGGAGCGTCATCCCGCCCCCAGCCTGCAGGGGAATGTACACCCACAAAATATATGGACGAGACACCACCAAACACACATGCTCTTCCATGCAGCAATAAATAGGAGCGAAGGTGCGTTCTGGTGTGTGGGAGTCTGCTCACATATTCTCACTTCCACCGCAATAAACGGTGAGGAATCAGGTGCCACAGCAACGAAAGGAAAAACAAACATCTATTGCAGCACTTTACCAGCGAAAGGCAGGAACGACAGAAACCGAATTGTTGACTGCACCAACACACGAAAACTTCAAAAGAGAAGGAAATAATTGTGCACCCTGCGGGAACCCCAACACACGACCCAGGCATGAAGGCTTACCCTCTGTAAAACAAAACAAAACGTGCGGACATCTGCCAACATTCAAACAGAAACACAAATAAATAGTTTTCTGCATTCTTCCATTCCTTGCGCTGAATATGAACGAAGGCCAAAGGCAACTGAGTTGCTTTTGTAATAAATACTGTCTGCACTTCCCGTGGACCAACTATCCACGTGGTGTGCGAGGATATCCCTTTTAATTGTTGCATTGCTTTTGTACTGCTGTGTGCGCTGCACCTTCTCTTGTGTGTGCGTACCCTCCGTGAGGGGTGCCGACACGACGGACCGCTCTCGCCGTATGTGCATGCGGTGGAGCCTTGTGTGCCGCTCCTGTTTGCTTCTCCCTCTTCCATCTGTGCGTGGTGTTGCGGCAGGGCTGTGTGTGTGTGTGTGCCTGCTGCCGTGGATTGGAGTGTGTGTGTGCGTGGTGTGCGGCGTACGGTGCATGCCTGGCTGCTGCCCTCTCCTCGTGTGGTGTGCCCTCTGTGTGTGTGTCTGCCGCGCCTCTCGTCTCCCCTGTTGCTCTCCATGTCCCTCACTGTGCAGATCAGCTCCACACCACTGAACGACCACACTCACGATGACGACGTGCCGTCTGCTGTGCGCCCTGTTGGTGCTTGCCCTGTGCTGCTGCCCGTTCGTGTGTGTTAGAGCGAGTGCTGGCGCGGAACGTGATGGACACACTGAACCGCCCACACCGTCACACAATTCAGGCCTGGGGGCCAATTCCTTGGGTCCAAATGCTCGTACAGTCCCGAAAACGAATAACTCCGGTGGACCACTTCAATCTGTTTCTACCGTTGCGGGAGGGGAACCCGATGTGTCGTCCAATACACCACATGGAGCAATTACGTCTGGTCAGTCGGGTTCAGAGGATGGTGACACCGATTCACCAGGTTCAACGGTTAATTCCGAGGAATTGGTAGTAAAAAAAACAACAGAGCATGATCCGGCAGTGCCAGCACCTAATGAAGAGGTTGCGGAGAAGGCAAAAAATGCGATGAATGCGACCCCGACGAAAAAGACACCGCCACTACCAATCTCGGCAGTACCACAGCCAAAAGCATCACCAGCAGTGACTGTTCCAGAAACAGGGAAAGGCTCAGCGGCACGAAATCTCTCCCAGTTGTCAAGAGAAAAAAATAAAGAAAACACAGCGTCACAAACCAAAGCGCTGTCCGAAGCACTGAAACGACATTCAGGGGATGCTGAGGCAGAGCAACAAGAACAAGAGAGCGACACATCAAATCTGGTGGCGATTGCCGATAACGGCAAACATGCGGAAACGACATCATCATCCATCTCTATAAATGACAATGACGATTCTCAGGGTACGGGGGCTGAGAATAATGACAATGATCCACGGCCCAACCCCACAGAAACAAGCGACCACAAAGTTGATAATACCAACCTTGCTTCTGCACCCACTGAGACCGCACCAGAAACAGTGAATACGGCCACCGCCGAAAGAAATGAAACACTGAAGTCTGAAGGCAGTGACGGCAGCACCGCGGTCTCCCACGCCACCTCCCCTCTTTTGCTTCTTCTTGTTGTTGTTGCGTGTGCGGCTGCTGCTGCGGTGGCCGCGTGAGAGTGAGGGAGAGAGAGCCGTGCACCGCCCGCACACACACTCGTCCTTCACTCACTCTCTGTGTGTGTGTCCCCTTGCATGGACTCTCGCCCTCACCTCACCCCACGAAGCACACACAATAATGTGCCCATTGTATATATGCATGCACACCCATGCAGGCCCGTTGGTGCTCTCTTTTGCACGACACGCACCGCTGCCGTCCTGCCTGGCTGCATGGGCGGAGCACCGTAACTGTTTCTGTTTTGTTTTTATTGCATTGAGTGGGCGACCTCTCTCTCTCTCTCCCTGTGTGTGTGTTTTGCTTTACGGGAGCAATGAGAGTGTGTGTGCGCTGGTCGTCCCACGCTTCGGCTTTTTGTTTTGTTTTTCATTGTGTTGTGGTTGAGTCGACCCATTATGTTTTTCTTTTTTTGGATTGGTGGTTTGCTTAGAATGTGTACGCATGAGTTTTTATTTTATTTTCTTTTTCTTTTGTTTTGCGATATTGTCAGTGTTTCTTATCCTTGTCAAGCCATTAATTGCTTTCTTTTACGTACAGCATGCGCCAATTGGTCACGTTAACCCACGGTCTGCACTGCTGCTGGTGCTTTTGGTTGTGATGATGTGTGTGGTGTGATTGCCAACAGGGAGTCCGTTGCCACCAGGATTCGTGTGGGCGATTGGGATGTTTCCAGACAAAAAGGTATGAGATGTATAATGCCATCTTCAGTGGCAAGGCACTCCGCTCTATATGAGGATGCGAGCCTGCCAGCTGCTGCACGATGGACCTCCACAGGGAGATCATTTGTCGTGGTGGAGCCATACAATAGTGCAGCGGATCCAGGTGCGAGCTCGGCGAGAGAGGAAGAAACGTCTGTCCATAATTCAAAATCATACGCTCCCAGGGAGGAGTAAATAGAATCAAGAGCCGTGCGCTTGACGTCGTCAGAGGCGTCTTGGGCAAAGCGTGGCTGATTAAATTCCACGTTATTGCAGCTCACAGTGTCCCAGGGGAAAATTCGATGTTGAATAGGAGGAGCACGATTGTGGCTGTGGGGTGTCCCAATAATATTACATACGCGGCGTAATCCATTAATAACAGCATCTCTCGGAAGCGGGATCGATGTCGCCGCCTTTCATGCATGGACGGCGGCATAGTCTCCAATCAGATTGCGCCACACACGTCCCCAATACATCGGAGAAGTGTGAGGCGTTCGTGCTGTGTGGTTTCACGGAACCCAATGATCCTCCGCAGCGGTGCTGGATTGGCGGCCAGGTGGATAAAATTATCCTTCTTTTCTGCGCGTGGGCCGGACACGGTGTGATTGCCTCGCCGCCGCGGTGCAGCGCACTGTGGACGCGTCCAACCAGAAAGTATCGCGTGGTGTGCTGGGACGCACCAGCCTCTGCACCCAGCCGCGGCTGATGGCGGCGTGGCACGGTCCGCATCGCAGTCCAACTAAAGCATTGTTTTTTCATTTGCATTGTGGTGTGTGACGAAGGTGCGTAGGAGCTTCCCGATGTCTTTGGAGAATTGCGATTTTGAAGAAGCCGTTGCAGGCGCACAGCGTCGTTTTGAGGAGAAGGTGAGTGCCTCCGCATTAATCAGCAAACAACATCTCGGATGACAGCAGGAAGCACTGCGGTTTCTCCTTTTTTTGCAAAGCGAATTTATTGGACGTCACGTTTGATTGGCAGCTTTTGTGGGAGAAGGTGGGAGGCTGAGGGCATGAGGACTGAATTCATTTAGGTGGCTGCGTTCCGTTGAGTTGCGGCCAGTCGTGGCACTCTTTTGGGGTTTGGCCGCCCGTCCCTTTTGTTTACTTCCCACTGCAACACGCGGATAACACTGATCCGAGGAACTTTTGTTTGACCGCGTGTGGGCTGCTGCCGTGCGTGGTGCATGAACTATGTGATTGCGTGGGAAGGTGCATGGAGTGACGAATACTTCTGTTTGGCGTGTCGCGGTGTTTCGGAATGATTTTCGGATGACATGTGGAGGGTGTTGTTTGTGGTTTGTGTGTCCTCTCTGGTGGAGCCGACATGTGTGCGGGATTGTGGCATTGCTGGCTGACAGTTCCACGTCACTTTTCAGCATTCCTGGATGTGCTGAGGAATGACGGCTGGCAACCAGCGTGTTGGTGCTGCTGGTGGGAATAAGTACATCGGGAATAGGCTATTTTCTCTTTTCCGTGCTGGAGCCGATGAAATGGCACGAGGGCACCGGCTGCAGGCTGCCTGCCAGCACGTGTGAGCAGCGGATCCATGCACACACCGACGCTCATCGCAAGAGCGTGTGCGATCACGGTGGCCTTTGTGGCGTGCTTTTATGGACGTCAGCCCATCGCAGAATGTGTGAAGCAAACGGCTGACTGCACACGAGGAGAATAAGTGCGTGCACTGTGCCGTGTTTCAGCGTCGATGGCAGAGCGGCAGGAGGCCCGTGCTGGCAACTGAGATCTTTGCGTCGCGAGGGCTGTCGGTGTTGATTTTGGATCGTCGAGGGGGAAGTGATTTTGCTGCTGCCCGTGTGTGTGGCCACTCCGGCGGAGGGCGGACACAAAAGGGAGGGATGCAGGCGCTGCGTGTGTGTGTGCAGGTGCCATGCAACAACGTCACAACAAACATGCTGCGACTCGGTGACCCTCACATCACTGTAGTCCTCACGAACAGCCCAGGCACGGCCCGCATTGATGCACTTAGTGGACGGAGTGAGGCATCTTTTGAGGCGCTGCAGGGAACAGGATGTGTTGACGCAGCCACGACGTGCATGGAGCGTCACGATGGCACAGTCAGCTGTTGCTGGTGGAATAATTGCTTCTCGGAGGCAAGAGAGAGAGAGAGCTGCTCCTGCTGCTGGCGTCGTTGCTGCCTTTTGTGGCCTCCCATGCCGATTATTGTCTGTCCGCTGATCATGGGTGGCATGCCTCCACTAGTGACGTCGTCTGCAGGCATTTCACAGTAACAGTGAAACACACATCACGTCGCATGCTTCGGCTGTGGATGTGGTGTCGTGAATGCAGCCGGCATTATTTTGCCCGACTCCTTTTCACTGCCTTGCGACAAATAGATGCGTCGCCGCCCGAGTCATTCACTGCAGCTCCGTGTGTTGTACTGCCGGCACAACACTCTCCTGATGTCTGACGCCTGGCTGACAGTCAAACACCACAGCGTTGGGACATGCAGGGATGTGGACTGCCGCTCACGGTGTTGGGCACCGCTGTTTGGATGCGGCGGCCACACGAGCGGATGTATTGTGGCACAATCAAATGCGTGAAATACGCGGAATCACAGCGGCTGCAATAATATAAGCGGTGTGGCATCACGGAATATGTGAGAGGGTGATGCATGATGAATCACAGTGGGCGGCATGCGAGGGAAGTGCACCGCGACGGAGCGTCATCCCGCCCCCAGCCTGCAGGGGAATGTACGCCCACAAAATATATGGACGAGACACCACCAAACACACATGCCCTTCTGTGCACCAATAAATAGGAGCGAAGGTGTGCTCTGGTGTGTGGGAGTCCACTCACATATTTTCATTTCCACCGCAATAAACGGTGAGGAATCAGGTGCCACAGCAACGAGAGGAAAAACAAACATCTATTGCAGCACTTTACCAGCGAAAGGCAGGAACAACACAAACCGAATTATTGGCTGCACCAACACAAGAAAACTTTAAAACAGGAAAAAAAATAATTCTGCACCCTGCAGAAATTACCAACACACGATGCAGGCATGAAGGCTTACCCTCTGCAAAAACGAAAGAACAAAATGCATGCAGACATCTTCCAACATCCAAACAGAAACACAAATAAATGGTTGCCTGCACTCTTCCATTCCTTGCGCTGAATATGAACGAAGGCCAAAGGCAACTGAGTTGCTTTTGTGATGAATATTGGCTAGCCTTCCCGTGGACCAACAATTCACGTGGTGTGCGGGGATATCCCTTTTTTATTGTTACTTTGCTTTTGCGTTGCTGTGTGCGTTGCGCCTCCTCTTGTGTGTGTGCGTACTCTCCGTGAGGGGTGCCGACACGACGGACCGCTCTCGCCGTATGTGCATGCGGTGGAGCCTTGTGTGCCGCTCCTGTTTGCTTCTCCCTCTTCCATCTGTGTGTCGTGCGTGGTGTGCGGCGTACGGTGCATGCCTGGCTGCTGCCCTCTCCTCATGTGGTGTGCCCTCTGTGTGTGTCTGCTGCACCTCTCGTCTCCCCTGTTGCTCTCCATGTCCCTCACTGTGCAGATCAGCTCCACACCACCGAACGACCACACTCACGATGACGACGTGCCGTCTGCTGTGCGCCCTGTTGGTGCTCGCCCTGTGCTGCTGCCCGTCCGTGTGCGCGGCAGAGTCTACTCAGCCTGAAGTTAAAGCTCCTGTCGCTGCCAATCCACAGTCCCCTCCATCGGTGATACCATCACAGGGGACAAGTCAGCCAGGGTCGCCAAGTAATGGGTCCGGTGCGGAAAAGGGAATTACTGCAGGAGTGGGACCAAGTTCGACCGCTGCAAGTCCGGAATCAGTTGACGTGTCTAACACGTTACGAAATCATGATACAGACGGTAATCCAGGACCAGAAATCGGCACAAGACAATCCGCAGAAGAAGCAAATCAGGAAGCCGAAGATCCTGCCGAGAAGACCACGACGACGACTACAACAAAGGCACCAACAACGATAACAACCACTACAACAAAGGCACCAACTACGACTACAGAGGCGCCAACCACGACGACCACCCGCGCACCGTCACGTCTTCGCGAAATTGACGGCAGCCTCAGCGGCTCTGCGTGTGTGTGTGCCTCGCTGCTGCTTGCCGCATCCGCGCTGGCGTACACCACTCTGGGCTGAAGAGGTGTATGTGGGCTGTGCGTGCCAGCACTCAACAGCGGGGATTTATGTGTGCGTCCACTTTGGTCCGATGTAACTAAATAAGAGAAAATAATGATTGTGTTTTGCTTTATTTGCTTCCGCTGCTCTTCTTCGTGCTACGTGTTACTCTCCACATCCGTCACGTCGAACGCACCCCAGACAAACTCGTATGCACGACACGCCCACAACTGTTTGCGTGGAACCATTTTTGTATGTGCTGGTGCATGCACACTGGAGCCATTCTGTGCACCTGTTTGCCTCTAGTAGTTTTACCTTTTTAAAAAATTTATTGCTCTTTCTTTACTCGTGTTTTTTAAATTGCTTTGTGTTTATTTTTCTTGCTGATTTATTGCTGCGGAGCTGTGTTTGTGTGTTTTTGCCCTTTTACTGATTCCAACTGCCTCATGTTGTGTGCTGCTATCATTTGGCACTTTGCGGTGGTTGTGTGTGGTGTAGCGGCCTTGTATTTCTCCCTTTTGCTTTCACTCTGCGTTGACGTGTTGTTAGTTTGTGCTGAAGGCTACACGCAAGTGACAGGAGTGATGGCGATGATGGTGACTGGCCGTGTGCTGCTGGTGTGTGCCCTCTGCGTGCTGTGCTGCGGTGCCGGCGGAGTTGTATACGCGATGGCGGACCGCTGCAGTGAAGGTAACGGGAATTTATTGACGCACATGAATAATGCTGAAAGTGACGCCGTCTTTCCGACGGCGGAATGCAGTTTGTTATCCACTCAGATGGGATTAATAAGGGCGGTTGAAGCTGGGGACGAGGAGGGAGCAGAATTGGGTGGTACAGTCACATCGGAAAAGCCCAAGCAATTATTATCTGGTACGACGTCGAAGGGTAATGATGAAGTTTTAACGCCTGTTCCACCAGCACCGCTGCCGACAGCTAAATTATCAGACCACGTTGAAAAGGAGAAGCCGTTAAAAACGGTTGATTCAAATGGAATTGGCGATACTAGGGATCCCTCAGGTGGTAAGGCAACGGAGTCCCAACGCCAAAGCGTTGGTCAATCTTCATCTGGCAGTACTGTCACTCAACCTGGCAAAGATCACAATTTGAATAATCCTTCCGAGAGCGATGCATCCTCCAATTTCGCGCCGACGGATGACAGTGACGCTAATATTCCTCCAAACGTTCCTGAACGGGGGGTGGGAGCATTGGGAAAGGTTAACGAAGATGAAGATAAAACGAAAAAATCAAAACAGGCAGTACAAGAAGATGCGGGAGAACACAAAAAAAAAAACAAAAATGATAATTCACCAACAGGGACACTTGAAAATGCAGCGAAACTGGAAAAAATACCACAAGCAACATCACCATCACTAATAAACGCACCAGCAGAAGTGGCACTGGAAACAATTGCAAAAAAAGAGGGAGATTCAACACAAGCACGAGTGAATGGACAGTCAAGCCCTGAAGATACCGTGCCCGTGCAACAGCTACAACTACCCCAAAGCGACATGAAGTCAAACAGCAATTCACAAACTGAGGGCATTGCCTCCATCACAGCCAATTCTCAGAATGAAACATCTGACGGCCATGCAGAAACAAAGCCACCACCCACGGCAAACGGTAATTTTGCCAATAATGAAGCTGACAATAGCACTGAAGACGGCATCCCGAACAGTGATCCAGCAGTTGATGTTGCAAAGACAAGAGACGAACAAAATGAAAATAAAGATGCCAATCCGAAGGAAACACCAGTGACGGCCACAGCCATGAAAAATACGACGGCGACGACTGGCGACAGTGACGGCAGCACCGCGGTCTCCCACACCACCTCCCCTCTTTTGCTTCTTGTTTTTGTTGCGTGTGCGGCTGCGGCTGCGGTGGTGGCCGCGTGAGAGTGAGGGAGAGAGAGCCGTGCACCGCCCGCACACACACTCTTCCTTCTCTCTCTGTGTGTGTGTGTCCCCTTGCATGGACTCTCGCCCTCACCTCACCCCACGAGGCACACACATAATGTGCCCATTGTATATATGCATGCACACCCATGCAGGCCCGTTGGTGCTCTCTTTTGCACGACACGCACCGCTGCCGTCCTGCCTGGCTGCATGGGCGGAGCACCGTAACTGTTTCTGTTTTGTTTCCATTGCATTGAGTGGGCGACCTCTCTCTCTCTCCCTCTGTGTGTGTGTTTTGCTTTACGGGAGTATTGAGAGTGTGTGTGCGCTGGTCGTCCCACGCTTCGGCTTTTTGTTTTGTTTTTCTTTTTGATTTTGTGGTTGAGTGCACCCATTCCGCGGCTGTGTGTGTGTGTGTGATGATATGAGTAATTTGCGTGTGTGCTATCTGCCTCTCTCTGCCGTTGCTTTCTTCAGACTCTCTTGTGCCGCACAGCTGCTCTGCAATTATATACGCTGACGAACGCACGAGCACATGCATACACACACTTTGTGTCGGACACGCTGTGGAGGGGTTTGGTCGTTGAGGATGCACGGACGCGGAGGATTCTGGCTGCAGCTGCCCTTGCGAGGAAGGACGACGGGGGACCGCGACGTGTCTTGTCGACGTGTTGCGGGCGTGAAGGTGGGGGCATGCAGGCAGGTGGGTGGTGTGTTGTTGAGGGTGCCTGGGACGAGTGTGGATTGCCTCCCTTCCAGCAGCTGCACGTGCCGAAGTTTCTCCCATACTGTGGATCCGTCGACGGGGGATCCTCCGGCTGTGCGGGGTTGTGTGTGCAGGTGGCGTAGCGGGTGCGCTGGAGGAGACAGCAGTAAACGGACTGGCGGCAGCGCATGGGCACAGCAAAGGGCGGCTGTGCCCTTTTGCATCAGGTTGGTTGATTTGTTGTTTGGGCGTTGCTCGGTGTATGCTGACGCGTGACGAATAACGCACCCGCTTTGGCTTTTACTGCTGGTGGCAGTCGATGTGTGTTCCCGCTGCACTGTTCTTCCTTCTCATTCCGTGTGTCTGTGCGCGTGAGTTGTTGTTGTTGGGAGTGACTGCGGTGGGGATGATGGTGCCACTCACTGTGGACGCTGGCGGTGCTTATTCTTTTACCTCCTTTTATTAGCCTGTTTTTATTTCTTTCACTCTCTTACGAAGAAGCAAACAAGCACTAATCGCTACTGTGAAATTGTAAGGCACTGAAAGGACCAACACCACACACACGCACCGCACACATATTTATATGCTCTCACGTGTTGCTGCTGTGAAGGCACCCCGCACACACAACCGTCGCCGCGTGACCGGATCCAGCGGAAGGAGGAGGGAAGGAGGAGAGGGTGAGCCGCAGAGGCCCAACATGTCCCGGAATCTCTTCTGCTCTGCGGTGCTGCTCCTTCTCCTTCTTGTGATGATGTGCTGCAACACTGGAGTTGCTGCGCAAGCTCCGGGGCAGCCATCTCAAACAAAGTATGAATGGAAGGACGTCAAGGATGAGGAGGGTGTTACTGTGGAATCGTTGAGTGTTCCGGGCCTTTTGAAAGTGGGGAGTGACGTATTTGCCGTTGCCGAGGCGCAGTGCAAAAAGGAAAGCGTCATTTTTACTGGCGTTTTTTCCGAACTTCTTACGGAAACGGAGGATGTTGAACAGAAGGAAGTTATGCAGGATGCCGAAGATAAGACACAATTTTTGGAGAAAGTAGGTTCTGAGGAGAAGAAAGTGGATGTGAGCCGACCAACAACAGTTGTGAAGGAAAATGATATTTACATGCTTGTTGGGACTTACAGCTCGAACCCTGCTGATGGTTGTCAGGATGGGGCTGACGTGGCTACTTTGAAACTTCTGCTGGTAAAGGGGCAATTCAGTGATAAAGAAAAAAAATTTGACTGGAACGATGCTGACGGTATCCCGTGCACTTTTTTAAACCAAGAACACAAATCCTGGACACGGCTGACTGGCGGCGGTGGATCGGGTGTTCTTACGGATGACGGTACGCTTGTGTTTCCAGTGGAAGGCACGAAGAAGGAGGGTGAAGCACAAAAGAATGTGAAAACCGTTTCGCTGATTATACACGACTTGAAGGATGCTAAGAGTTGGAAGCTGTCGAAGGGGATGTCTGACGGTGGCTGCAGTGATCCCTCCGTAGTGGAGCGGAAGGACAAAAAACTCATGATGATGACTGCGTGTGATGGCCGCCGCAGGGTGTACGAGTCCGGTGACAAGGGGGATTCATGGACGGAGGCACTCGGGACACTCTCGCGCGTGTGGGGCAACAACCAAAAGGGTGAAGAAGTGAAGGGCGTTAGAAGCGGGTTCATCACAGCGACGATTGACGGTGTTGAAGATAACAGAAATGTGATGCTCGTTACTCTGCCGGTGTATCCCGAGGAGGACAGTAAAAAGGAAACGGGCAATGGAAAGGGAAAACTCCATCTTTGGCTGACGGACAATACGCACATTGTTGATATTGGGCCGGTATCCGATGATGACGCTGCCGCCAGCTCCCTGTTGTACAAAAGTGCTGAAAGTGAAACTAATAAGGAGGAGTTGATTGCACTGTACGAGAAGAAGAGTAATGAAGGGAAACCATCACACAGTCTTTGGTCTGTGCCTCTGACTGCGCAGCTGCAGCGGGTGAAGCAGGTGCTGGCGACGTGGAAGAAAGCGGACCAAACTGTCTCCAAGCTGTGCCCTTCTGAGAGTGCCTCACCTGACGCTGCCTGCAGCCCTACTTTTAAGATCACGGATGGGCTGGTTGGATTTTTGTCCGGCAACTTCTCTGAGAACACATGGAGGGACGAGTACCTCGGGGTGAACGCCACAGTGAAGAATAAAGATGAGGCGGAGCAGGTGGATAGTGGCGTGAAGTTTACAAGGCGTGGCGCAGGGGCAGAGTGGCCCGTTGGCAAGCAAGGGGAGAATCAGCTGTACCACTTTGCGAACTACAACTTCACTCTTGTGGCGACGGTGTCCATCGACAAGGTGCCGGAGGGAGATACCTCCATTCCTTTGATGGGTGTAAAGGTGAATGACAACAAGAATCCTGTACTTCTGGGACTGTCGTACAACAAAGAAAAGAAGTGGGAGTTTTCTTGCGGTGGCGGAAACCCTAAGGGGCACAACAGCATATCGAAGGAGACAACACACCACGTGGTGCTTGTGCTACGGAACGGCACCCAGGGCTCCGCGTACGTTGATGGTCAGCGTGTATTGGGAGATGAAGCGTGTGATTTGATAAATACGAAAGATAAAAAGATCTCCCACTTCTACATTGGAGGGGATGAAGGTGCAAAAAGCGACTCAGGGAGCGAAGACGTCTCTGTGACTGTGACGAACGTCCTGCTGTACAACCGCCCGTTGAGCTCTGAAGAGGTTGGCGCCCTCAACCCGAATAAAGCTTCTATTCCACCTGTGGTGCCTGAAAATGGCCAAGGAACCCCGTCGCAGTCCTCTTCTGACGGGCAATCGCCGTTGAGGCCTAAATTGTTGAATGGAAATGAGGGTGCGGTTGGTGGCAGCACGTCCACATCAACACCGTCCACTTTAACGAATTCAGGAGAAGAGTCAGTAAAGCAGTTGGCGTTGCGCGCTTCTCCCGGTGGAAGTAAACATGTGGGTGTCGCTTCTCCATCCGATGGTGATCCAACGGTGGGAGCAGAAGCTGGAGGTGCGATGCAGGGAGACACACCACCCCAAACTCCTGTGGATACCCCCGACACAGCAGGTGCAAACGCTCCTACCGCCACGGACGTGGCTCAAGTTGGCCCCACAGCTACAACTGGGGTGGGTGCGAGCTCTGGTGCGAATGTGGAGACGGCGGAAGGGAGGGATGGGCAGGAAGAGCTCCATGCACGGGACGGCGAAGTAAAGGGTGCGGCACTCAGCAGCAGTCTCGGAAATTTGTCGCAGGGGAATAACAGCGATGCCGGCACCATGTGTGGGAGCGGAATGCTGCTGCCGCTGCTTCTTCTGTTGGGACTGTGGGTGTTTGCGGCTCTGTGAGGAGTGACTGGCTACCGCGTGGGACACTTGCGACTTCCTCAGCAGCGACACACACACGGTAATTAATTTCTCTTCTTTAGTAACTTTTATTTTACTTTTTCCCTGTTTGCTTTTTTGTGCGTTTTATATCC